AAGGAAGGAAGGAAGGAAGGAAGGAAGGAAGGAAGGAAGGAAGGAAGGAAGGAGTCAAAGTTCCCCTTTAAAAAGATTAGTTATGCTCAATCCATCTGAGTGGTGACTGAATAAAAAAAAGTAGGAAGAGAAACTTATGTTCTGCCCCAGGGCTTTCCTTTGGATGCCACAGGAACAGAGAGAAGATAATGTGGTGGAAAGCATTCCGCCATCCCTGATGAGTATTTCCCCAGCTGGCTATTGTGTGGGAAGTTGCCACTGCCATTCTGTTGAGGCCTGTGTATTCAAAACTACTATAAGACTTCAAATATAACCCAGCATTATGATAGCTCAGTGTTACAGAATCACTAAAAGCCAACTTAGTTATAAATATATATTTCTTTATTCAACTTCTATCTGCCACAATCAGAATGGAATAGAAAGTCAAAGCAGAGCATAGGCACATAGGAAGATGCTTTATTTTTAGGTTTTTTTTTAAAAAAATGTATAATATTACCTACAGAGCCAGCAGCAGGTCTCCACAATTATAGGCAGGAGCTTTTGCAGTTTTGTCTAAATATAAAAGACTGAACAAAAGATTTCTCCATACATAGTATATTCTCCACTTCTGTTATATGACAGAAGAATTAGGGAACTTCTAGTAAAACATTTGGTGTATAACAGAGAAGTCTAAGAAAGCATGTTTACCTAAAAATTCAGTAACTCAGTCAGCCCAATTAAATGGATCTGAAACAGCAGCTTTGACATGTCTGAGGGACCATGCCTTGTTAAATGTACACATTGTGGATCAAGTCCACTAGGTGGCATACTGAGAAGTTGTGTAGTGAAATTCTACTAAAAGGAGACTCTCCCCAGCACTATAGTAATTAATTAGAAATGCTTTTTTAGATGCAAACATGCTTAGTCTTTACTTTAGGTAAGTATTATATTATTAAAAAGGAACTATAGACAAGGTAGATTAAACTTTTAATTTCTGTCCCTTGCATCAGCGATAAAAATTGTATCTTCTAAGTACATGATAGATTGATTCTGTCTGAATACCATTGACAATAATCTTACACATGCCATATATAGTATATAATAATGATAAAAATAACTGAAGGGGAATCCAAGATACTTCAGATCAAAATAATGAAGAATAGTAGCACCTAAAAAGTAAATTTCATAAATCTAATCTGGTGTTTTAAAAAGTAATAGGATTTGAAGGGAATCCAAAGAGCTCAAATTCATGCTTTGCCCAACGAGTACATCTGTGCACTCACTGTAAATATGTGAATTAAAAGAAAACTGTGCACTCAAGATTCTAGGCACATTGCGCACTTGCTCAGATTTTTGGACAGCACTGATATAAAAATGTACTTGCAAACAGGATGAAAAAACAAACTAGGCTATGTGGGGTGAACAACCCCACTTCCTGCTTATATAAAGATTTAAATATGAACATTTATTTTTAAAAACACTATTTTTCACATGAACTCTGATGAGCATGCCATCAGCTTTATATGAATAATACTAAACACAGTCTGACAACTCTTTTCTTACCTGTTGGTACTATCTGTTCATTTGAATTTGTGTAAATAAATAATAAACAGTAAATCGTATATGCTTAATAGTGTTCTTAAAATGTCTTATCAACACTCATGCAAAGCCTAGGAACAAAAAAAAAATTAGTCAGAAATCTTAATTCTAGAAAGATAGATGGATAGAGATGTTACGCCCCACAGGGGAGAACTATGTTCATTAAGTTATTTGCAGACAAGTCAAAAAATAATTCTTGCTAATAATAGTAGTAATAATAATAAGTGAAGAAGATACAGATGGCTAGAGAGGAGAGAACCTTTTTTAATGAGAAAGAGCAATCAGCTGAAAGGTAAGCTCTATTGGAAGGACAGTACAGTAAATATATTGGACATCCTAAAATATTGTAACGTTTTATACTGACAGAAGGAAAATGAGTAGATGAAGAAACATATGGCTAGAGACTGAGTCCAGGAAGCAGTATGACTGAAAATAAATGGAATGGGGAAAGTAATTGCATAACTTCGCACAAAGTACCAGATCAATGTTTTGGGTACACATTCTTATTATACAAATAGTTTAAGATGTCAATTGTATCATCGTTATCTTCATCATCTCTATACTTACCTCCCATAGGTGGGCCTAAAAGGACAGGGCAGCACTCCACAATTGTAACGAGTCCTACTGCACTGGAGAATCTTGGCGCACCAACAAGATCCGTCAATGTCTCAAAAAGGACACTGCTAACCATTCCAAATGCAAGTCCAAAAAGTACAGCATACACAACCAGACCTGTATAGGTTTCAGCTAATGGACACAGGATGTGGCAGACCCCATTGTACAAAACAGCAAAACTAAAGAAGTACTGGATTCTGGGCCGGATGTATTTGGAGTTTGCAATTAAGCCAATTGATGGCCTGGCAAACATATCTACAAAAGCTAGGATAGAGAGTAAAAAAGCTGCTGAATATTCATCAATTCCTTTATGCTTGGCATAAGGAGCTAAAAACACAATTGGGGCAAAGAAGCCAAGAAACATAATAACATTTCCAGACAAATAAATCAAAAAGCCCCTGTGTTTGAAGAGGGTTAAATCTAAATATTTGTTGATGGTTTGCCAGACCGATTTCTTGTCATTCTTGTGCAAAATGGAATCTTCAGTTGCTTTTTCCACATCTTTTTTGATAGTCTGCACAGGTGTTGGTCCAACAGGCCTCATAAGTGACCCAGCCACACAGCAATTTAAAAGAAGCCCTCCCAGAATGAGGAAACTTCCTTTCCAACCAAAAGCATTAAAAAGAAACTGATTCAGGGGTGCCAGAGTACTTAGAAAGACAGGACTTCCCGCCATGGCCAGTCCATTAGCAATGGGACGCTTTTTATAAAAATATTTGCCAATCATCGTCAAGGCAGGTTGCAAGTTGAAAGCCAAACCCAAACCTAAAATAATAGAAAAAATATAATATTACTGCATTTAATACACTGCAACAAATCTCTCCAAATAAATCAAAATTGCCTTTCTCATCTCCCCATGCCCAAATGTGAAAATGCCAACCTGTAATTCAGAAGAAAGGCCTTTCAAAAAAAAAAAAAAAAAAGCCATTGGCACTGGCAAATAAAAACAAATAGGCATTGCTTCCCACGTACTTTAATGTCACCAATCTGCTACAGTACATTTCACTCACTCATTTTCTTATATGGCGATGCAATAAAAGCAAAACCTTTAGCAATGATCAATACAAGTTTCAGACAACAGAATGATAGGGGGACAATGATAACAAGACCTTGAAGACACTGTTTGTATATTTCACAATGTTCCAATCCAATTTGCTCTTGGTTCATTGCACAGGAGTTATTAAATGTCACTTTTCTATAAAAAGGGCAGATTTTAGAAGTCTTAAATCCTCTGTCTTTAGTTTTATCCTTTACTTAGGTTTGAATAGGAACACATAAAATAAGCTTCAAATAATTAATACACATGGGCTACTACCAAGCAAATTACACTATGTAACACCTAGTCTTCATCATGAAGTCTGGAAATACACAGTAGTTTTCTCTATGCAGATACAAGGATCTCTCCAGGTAGAGCAGAACGAACTGGCCCAAGCATACAAACAGTCCACTGACCCCATATATCATTATACAGCATTAGACATTAAAAAATGGGGGAACATTTTTTCCCTATTCCACCACCCTTTATTATTAAAGGCAATTTTATGAAAAAACACATGTTTGTGATAATGAAACAAGTTTTGCTTTGCTTTGCTTGGCTTATATGTTAATAATATGCCCCATCATTTGGTAAGCCAACTTTATTTTTTAATTCTAATTGTCATAATAATAATTCAAATTGTCATCAGAGTTGTTATAGATCTTTCTTTGGATAGAGAAGTATCCTAAAATGTATTCTGCACTGACTTAACCTGTATTCCTCCTACGGTGTTTCAGACAACCAAGTCACTATGGCTGAAATTGGTATGTACAGGCTAAACAGTTGAATGTACTGCAAGAGTTGCTTAAAAGGAAATCAGTTTAAGCTGAATCTTGGAACTGGTTATGATCCAACTTTCCTAAATGGTGACTTTGGAATGACACAAAAATTTTAACTATAATGTCATATATACAGTATACATAAATTATCAATCATGGTCAAATAATCATCATATGTAGATCAGTGACTATTGTATAAGTATGTTTGGTAAACAGGTTGCTCCTATTGTCCAGAAAGTAGCTGATCAGCAAAAAAATATTCTTTTGAATATATTTATAAAGCTATCAATGCTTTACCTTTGAGAATTCAGTGAAAAGGAAATTCTATTAAGGACAATATAGTATGTGTTATATTTGGGCTTCAGTACATTGTTTAATTTCCTTTAAGTTTGCTTCAAAACTTTTGGTTAAGAACTACCTTTTCTTCAAATGCCCCAATAGGCCACTTTTAGAATAAATTTATATCTTGGTAAAGGAAAATGGGTATTTTGGCATGTTATCTAAACTGTGGATTCTTTGTCAGGATACCTGAAGTAGAATAATGAGAAGCTAAAAGAAACTGTATAAAATTAAAAGTTGATGGTTATGATAAATACTTCCAGGAAGCAATCCAGGGGTGGGATTCTACCGGTTCTCACCTATTCACTAGAACCTGTTGTTAACTTTCTAAGCAGTTTGGAGAACCAGTTGTTGGAAGAAATCTCCTTTTGCTTTTGTTTCTTCAGGGCTAATTCTGTAAGGAAGGCAGAAAGGAAACATTCTGGTGTTGTTGCTTACAGAAACTGCCTCTCCGTTAACCCTTATTGGAAGTATGCCTAGATTTCCTGTTTCTAGAGCTTCTCTGGAGTTTTTTTTCCTCTTTTGCTGGTACTTTGCTTGACTTTCTTAAGGGGGAAGGGTTTATTTAAAGCTTTTTACACTGCTGTTGGGAGGAAATATTTCCCTGTTGGAGTTCTTCAAGCTGGGATGAAATGATTAGCACTTTGAAGAAATAACTGAATAAAGAAGCAAAGCTGCCTGAAAGAAGCTTTTAATGACAAGGAACCAAGATGAGTGACATTCAGCAAGGCTTCTTGGCTTGCTAGAAAGATTGACATTCAAATGTGAGTTTACAGACTCTTTCTGAGTTTTGGTCTAAAATTGGTTTTTGGTGAAGTTTAATTCTGAGATTGGTGACGTTTAATCCTGTGTTTAGTGATGGAATAATTTTCTCTATTCAGCTTTGTTTGGAAGGAAAAAGGTTAATCTCTGTTCCTGAGAAGAAGCAGGGTTGAGAAATCTGGCTAGTTCCTGGGTCTATTTGTTCTGGTAATTGGTTTAATAAGCAACAGCTACTGTTATGTGTTAATTATTTGTATTGTGTTTGAATTTTTTCCTACCTCGTGGTTTCTTTTTTAATCTGGGGAGGGGGTCTTCCTTCACTGCTTTAATGGTATCTGCACTGTCCTTTTGGGGTGTAATTCCAAGAGGCAGGATGCAAGCTTGGCACTGATTTTTTTACTGCCTTTCTGGGTGCATGTTATCTTTCCTTAAATCTGGATGATTTCCTTCAGATATCTTGTGAGGTGAGTGAAACCAGCTGGTGTCTTTAAGTGGTGCAAATGGATCTAAGGATTGCTTCTCCAGGGTGTGCTCTTTCTGGAGAGCTTAAATGACCTCACTGCTAAAGGGTTTCACTTTATGAGCAAGAGTTGGCTGCTGATAATTATCACTGCATTTTAACTATTTTAATTTCTCAAAGTGCTCTGATTTGTAACTCTGGCTTACAGGTATTTTTAATCTAATGATTGGTATTTAGGGCAGCTTTTTGCAAGCAAAGAAGCTTCTTGTATTTTTGTACAGGTAATCCTTGACTTACAACAGTTCATTTAGTGACCATTCAAAGTTACAATGGCACTGAAAAAAGAGACTTATGATGATTTTTCACACTTACGACTGTGGCAGCATCTCCACAGTCATGAGAGGCCAGGTGAGGAGAAGCACCCCTCGATGTGAGTGATATCGAGTTGGCCATGCCCATCCAGTTACATGCCCATCAAGCCATGGCCACCAACTAAGCCACGGCCATAGAACTAGTTGTTAAAATATTTTGAATCCCACTCCTGAAGCAATAAATTATTCTCCTGTAATTGCAAAACACTGCAGAAAGAGTTATGCAAAACCCACAATATCCCAATCTGAAGGAAGGAATGAACCAATCAATTAGAAACAGAATCCTAAGATGTGTGCTGAAGGAGAACACCAGGAAAAACAAATAAAAATATACTGTTATATTACCTCCAATTACACCAATACACATGTAAAGTTGCAAGACGCTGTTGCAGAATGAAGAGGCAATCATTCCAAATGAAGCCAGTATTCCCCCAGCAATCATGATTGGCCTACTGCCATATTTGTTCACCAAAATACTGCTTACAGGGCCTGTGAACAGGAAAATAAAAACAAATATTGAGCTATTTTCTGAAAATTAAAAAAAAGAAGCTGGATCTTTTCAGTGACTGAAATAAAGACTTTGTGCTTAGCCCACAAAATGTTCACTATATGCTTATTAACATAACTCACTACTGCCACAACATCAGATAAGCATGCGTACACTAGGGGAATCCAATTTATGTATGCTGGAGCCTTCTATGAAGCAGGAGAAAGCAATTGGTTACATACAATACTATGAGATATGTGTCTGTGATCACTTTTCCTCCCCTAGAATCAGGGTAGAACAATTCTATTAGTATCTTTAGAAGCGTTCCATCAAAGACCTTATTGTCTATCAGGCAAAATAAGATTTTGGCAGTATGTCTCTTTGCTTTTTCCCATTGCATGAGGTTTATTAGCTGTGGCTCTCCTTCCCCCTTCTTTTGCCATTCTTTCTACCCAAAAGGATAACTTACAACTAGGTAAAGATGCTTAAGTTAAGACAAGGTATGTGAATCAAAGAAATATTGATTTGAGCGGCATGTACATTTGGATTTGCTTTAGGCAGCATAAGGGCTTGGGATGGTAGAAAATGAATCTTTCTTTATTTGCTCCTTCAGTGATCCACCTGAGTGGTTCTTTCTTCAGGCAAAGGAGTGACAAACAGACCTAGCTGCATCTTAACAGACAGATTGGCAAAATAAGTTTAGTTATTTCTGTACATAAAACCACTCTGATTGGCATGAAAAATGCTCAGCTGAAATGGGTGTGCTAAATATCCAAACTGGCTTGTTGTCAGACACATTTGAAAAACTTTCTTCATTGTGTTCTGCTTTCTCAGAATGTAGCAGTATTATCATTCTGAGATTTGTATCCATTACATTAAAGTAGAAATGGATTAAAAGAAATCAAAGCATTGATTGTAACATTTAAAGCTAGCCCTGAAAAGGACTCTAGAATAAAGTTAAATGTCAAACATTGCTTTTGATTTTACAAGAAATTCATTGATATTATCTAAGGCATAAGCTTTACATTAATCTCTCCCCTTCTAGACAAAGAACTATCTTAATATTTCCACTACTGTATAGAAAATTAAGTAACCTACACTGTAGGTTGGGTTTACAGAAGGTTCTTCTTTATAATACAAGTGACCTGAATTCCTGCATTTTAAACTCTTCTTTAAGGCTACTATGGTCACTACTTACATGGGCCAAATGCTTCTTGAAATGTTGTATTCATAAATAATCAACACAATTTCCCCAATACTGCTTCTTGGCCATAATAGTACATATAGAAATGAACTTGTTTGTAGCTGCAAAGCAATACTGTATCTCTTTAACCATATTTTTTTAAAAAAACAATAAATTAAACAGTGAAAGAATATTCTAGCATACTAGATGGGAAGGCAGAAAGCCATTATACTGGTTTGCCTTTTTGTCAATGGGTGATTTGTGAATAGTTATCCATCATATGAACAAACAAGCTTCATGGCAGCTATTTTGTAAGGCTACATGATCCAGTGTTAGTATTCCTAAATTGTACCAGTTATGATCCAAACTCTGTCAAGGACCTTGGAGTACTCATCTGTAATGATCTAAGTGCTTGAGCCTACTGTAACTACATAGCCAAAAAGTTGTTAAGAGTTGTTAACCTAATCTTACGTAGCTTTTTCTCTGGTAATAGTACACTACTAACTAGAGCATACAAAACTTTTGCTAGACAAATGCTCAAATACAGCTCATCAATCTGGAACCCACATTATGTATCTGATATTAACACAGTTGAGAAAGTCCAGAAATATTTCACAAGAAGAGTTCTCCACTCCTCTACTCATTGCAGAATGCCTTATGCCACCAGTCTTGAAACTCTAGACCTAGAAAACCTAGAACTATGCTGCCTTTGATCTGATCTAAGTATAGTATATAAAATCATACATTGCAATGTCCTACCTGTCAATACTTCAGCTTCAACCATAACAATACAAGAGCAAACAATAGATACAAACTCAAAGTTAATCACACCATAATTGATTGCAGGAAATACAACTTCAGCAACAGAGTGGTGAATGTCTGGAATACTCTACCTGACTCTGTGGTTTCTTCCCCAAACCCCAAAAACTTTAACCTTAGACTGTCTACTATTGACCTGAGCCCTTTCCTAAGAGGTCTGTAGGGGGCATGCATAAGTGCACCAACATGCCTACCATCCCTTCCTATTGTTTCTTTTTCTTTTTTTCTTCTTATATGTATCCATGTATTCATAACTATGTTTTTACTTATACCTATTTTCTTGTAAGCAATTAACAAACCAAATAAAATAAATAAATAAATAAAAAAGTTTAATCTAGGAAGCATAGCCAATTTATCTTATTGTTAATCCACTCCAAAAAGTTGGCAAGTTCAGAAACATGAATTTAAAAAATGAATTAGATTTGACTTTAATTAAGATTTCATTGATTTAGCTAAAACTACCCGTTCTTGGATTAATAATTTAGTGCTCCTACCATATTAAAATCAAATGTATTAGCTAGTAGGCTGTATCCCAAGACTAAAAGCCAAAGATTTGAATCACTGGCTAGCATTCTATAGATCTCCTGATTATATTTTAATCTGGAAAAGTAAAGTATCTCCCATATCTTCTCTGTCACATTGTCTGTTTTCTCAGAATTCTGTATTAAATATTCAGCATACTTTATTATATAATCTTTGTCATTAGGCATAAAATATATTTCCTGCAATTCTTGATCAAGTGAGGCTTTCTTTATTCAACAGTCACATTCAAGAAGTGGTTTTCACTATATTTGATAAATATAAATATGGCCTCAGTTTAACAAAAGATTTCTTGCAAATTATGATCTTTTAAAATTCAATCATACCAGATGTTTTTGTTTCATGTTTTGCAATATTGTATTTTGTACATACAGTATTACTATATGTAATAATTTGTATATCTACATAAATTCATAGAAAGATAAGAAGAAATGCAGTGTAGAACTGTCAGTAAACAATAAGATCTTAGTGATCTAAAAGCCCATTTTTCATGGAAAAGATAACTTTTAGTCCTAGCTTAAATCTCATAAGTAGTCAAGAACTAAGAAGCAGAGATAAATTTTGGAGCAAATAAGTATGAAGGGCTTTTTTGCCTTATCTGAGTTGTTTTCTTTTCTGTTTTACTTATTTGTATTTGCTTTAAAGACCTGGATAAAGCAATTCCATGTTGGAGTTGTGGAGGCTTGATAAGAGGACTACTTAGACATTGAAGAGAATATTGTCAAAATTGGATGATGAATTGAAGTGATGGCTGAAAACTGTATCAGTAACTCCATATCAGCCAGTGACAGTCTGAAGACTTTTGAGCCACCAGCAATAATGAGGGGTCCCATCTGTGGGTTTTTTCAAAAGCACTGCAGCAATAATCCTCTTCTCTCAATTGGCTGACATCTCCAAATGAATTAGTAGAGATGGGGAATTCTGGGCTGAAAGAATATAGACGCATACATAGAAAAATCCACTGGTTCCATGGGAACTTTATTCTAACTAAAACAATTAAAAATAATACTTTTCCTTTCTATCTGGCTGGTCATGACTACATCAGAATTATTATCAATCATTATTATTATTTGGATGTTAGATATACTTATGGAGGTTGCTCCATTACGGTTGATCTCTGGACGAAGCATTCCTTCCACATGTTTATCTATAAAGGAGAGTTGCGAACACAGATGTGCTTTCTGATGTCACTACCATTATCACTGCTTACTGCCAGTTACTTAAGTATTTAAACAATAAAGCATATACAGAACAGGAGAAGATCTACTTTGTATATAGATAGCATCATTATGCAAAACCAATTGCTAAAAGAAAGGCCAAACAAAGTTTTGGTTTGTCATGTTATTTCATTCTCCCTTTGGTCACCAAATTACAATGGGCGAATATACCTTCGCAGAAAATCTTTGTATATTGGTTTTACATATATAAAGTTTTAGTTTTCCTCACGGTGTGTTAGTTTTCCTCACTGTGTATAAATGTCAGTCTCCTTAATGAAATGTTTATGATTAGAATGCAGCTTTATGATTATAGAGAATGAACAGTTATATCTTAAGTTTTTTATGCTACAATTCAGAAGTATGACAATAGAATGCAGAATCTCTAGAGGTGTATTATGAATTTACTCTATAATCCCATTCACTCCTCCACATTGTTATAAAGCCTGAAGCAAGAATTCCTGCAATTATGATTGCTTTCATTGTTCCTGCAATATGCCATCACTGTAATTAATTTGTTATATTAGAAATGTAAATTTCTATCTGTTTTTAATCCAGGCATTCCCATAAGCAGAATGATATTTATTACCTGTCTACAAAAATAGCACCATCCACACTTACACCACTTTGTTCCATCTTTGTTGGATCTATTTTCCCAAACTATACATGTTATTTACCTGACGGATTAACTAAGTCTAGTTCTATAGAAACTGTATAAACTGTGATTTTATATATTTCTAGTTTATTTGGTTAATGTATTTATTTTTACAAATACAGTTAGTAAACTTAAAACAATCTTTTAATTAAGTGAGTGCTGGGCTGACCAATCCTATAGGGACAGAAACAATGGAATCCAATATAGAAAATTCCAAAAAAATCTGCTGGTCTTATGTAAGCCTAATAGAATACATCTTCCTTCCTTCCTTCCTTCCTTTCCATAGCATCAAAATGCTAGGAAAAAGGAACTTCGAGATCATAAAGTTCAACCTCCTGCTCTGTGATGCAGTAAAGCATCCTTGACAGCTTCTGTTTGAAGGCTTCTAGTACATGAAAACACTCAAACTCAGCCTATCGCCCTGGATAGCTCATAAATAAAAGAATAAGATCTTGCTGTTTTGTTTCCCAGGGTGACTTTTTGTACCAACTGTGTTTGGTCCCTATTCATGAAGAACATAGCAAATTTATCATTTTGTCTGATCACCTTTGGATGTATGCTAGAATTTTGCCCAGACCAGAGGTCATTTTA